ATTTATCAGAGTACGGTTCTTGGTTTCATTGATCTTTTCTGTTGTTTCTTTTTCAGTCTCTGTTTTATTTAGTTCCTCTCTGACCTTTATTATTTACTTCCTTCTGCTCACTTTGGGCCTTCTTTTTCTTTTTTTAGTTCCTTTATGTGTAAGGTTAGATTGTTTATTGGAGATTTTTCTTGTTTCTTAGAGTAGGCCAGTATCACTTTAAACTTCTCTCTTAGAACTGTTTTTGCTGTGTACCACGGATTTTGGAGGTTGTGTTTCCATTTTCATTTGTCTCAAGATATTTTTTAATTCCTTCTTTGATTTCTTTGACCCATTGGTTGCTTATTTGCATGTTGTTTGGCCTCCTCATGTTTGTGTTTTTTCCAGTTTTTTTTTCCCCTTGTAATTGATTTCTGGTTTCATCCCATTGTAGTTGAAAAGATGCTTGATGTGATTTTGGTCTTCTTAAATGTATTGAGACTTGTTTGGTGGCCTAACATGTGATCCACCCTGGAGAAGGTTCCATGTGCACTTGAAAGGAGTGTGTTTTCTGCTGTTTTGGATGGAGTGTTCTTTTTATTTGTATTATGTCTGTCTGGTCTAGTCTGTTGTTTAAGGCCACTGTTTCCTTACTGATTTTCTCTTTGGATGATCTCTCTATTGATGTAGGTGGGGTGTTACTATGTTACTATCAGTTTCTACCTTTGTGTCTATAAATATTCCTTTGTATATTTAGGTGCTCCTATGTTGGGTATATAGATATTTATAATTGTTATATCCTCTTGTTAGATTGATCCCTTTATCATTATTTAATGTCCTTCTTTGTCTCTTGTACAGTCTTTGTTTTAAAGTCCATTTTGTCTGATGTAACTATTCCTACCCCAGCTTTCTTTTCGTTTCTGTGTGCATGGAATCTTCTTCCAGTCTGTATGTGTCTTAGGTCTGAATTTAGTTTAGTTTTGTTTTTTTTCTTAGGGAGCATAAGCAGTGGGTGTGTGGTTGGGGGTATGGGGGGAAGCAGAGGGAGAGAGAGACGCAGAGATCATGACCTCAGCTGAATCAAGAGTCGGATGCCTAATTGACTGAGCCACCTAGGCACCCCTGAATTGAGTCTCTGATAAGCAGCGTTTTGATAGGTCTTGCTTTTTTATCCATTCAACCACCCTGAGTCTTTGATTATAATATTTCTTCCATTTACACTTAAAGTAATTATTGGTAGGTAGTACTTATTGCCATTTTTTTGTTTTCTATTTTTGTAGTTCTCTGTTTTTTTGGTGTTTTTTTCCTTGATCTCTTCCCTTGGGATTTGATGACTTTCTTTAGTGTTATGTTTGGATTCCTTTCTCTTTATTTCCTTTGTATCTATGTAGGTTTTTGGTTTCCTTATCACAGAGTTCATGTATAATATCCTATGTATGTAAGTTTATTTAAGTTGATGATTTCTTAAGTTCACATTCTAAAAGCACTACATTTTTCCCCGCCCTGCAGTGTTTTATGTTTTGACATCCTGCTTTATATCTTTATCTTTGTATCCCTTAACAAAATATTGTAGACATGATTGATTTTACTGTTTTTGTTTTTAACCTTCATACTAATTTTATAAGTGGTTGATCTACACTACCTTTGCAGTATGTTTGCTTTTACCAGTGAGATTTTTTTCCTTTATAATTTTCGTCTAGTTGTGGCTTTTTCTCTTCCACTTAAAGAAGTCCCTTTAACATTTCTTATAAGGCCAGTTGAGTGTTGATGAGCTCCTTTAACTTTTGTCTTTAAACTCTTCATCTCTTCTTCAATTCTGAATGATGATCTTGCCAGGTAAATTTCTTGGTTGTCGGTTTTTTCCTTTCAGTACTTATATGGTGACATTCTCTTCTGCCTGCAAAGTTTCTGTTGAAAGATCAGCTGATAATTTTATGTATGTTCTCTTGTATGTAACTAGTTGCTTTTCTCTTGCTGCTTCTAAGATTATCTCCTTATCTTTAATTTTTGACATCTTAGTTATTACATGTCTTAGTGTAAATCTCTTTGCATTAATCTTGTTTTTGGCTCCCTGTGCTTCCTGGAACTGGATGTCTGTTTTCTTCCCCAGCTTAGGGAAGTTTTCTGCCATTATTTCCTCAAATAAGCTTTCTACTTCTCTCTTTTTTTCCCCTTATGGGACCCCTGTAATGTAAATGTTAGTCTGCTTGATGTTGTCTCAGAGGTCTCTTAAACTATCCTCATTTTTTAAAGTTTTGTCTCCTTGCTGTTCAACTTGGGTGACACTCACTACCCTGGCTTCCAGATCACTGATCATTCTTCTGCATCATCTAATGTGCTTTTGATTCCCTCTAGTGTATTATTTTATCTTCTGCTCTGATGAGTTCTTTTTGATAGTTTGTATCTCTTTGTTGAAGTTCTCACTGTGTTCATCCATTCTGCTTGAGTTTGGTCAACATCTTTATGACCATTACTTTGAACTCTTTATTAGGTAGTTTACTTATCTCCATTTTATTTCATTCTTTTCTCAGGTTTGTCTTGTTCTTTCCTTCAAAACCTATTTCTCTGTCTTCTCATTTTCCCCGACTCTCTTTGTTTTTATGTGTTAGATAGATTAGCTATGTCTCAGAGCCTTGATGGAGTGACCTAATGTAGAAGGCATCCTGTGGGGCCTTGAAGCACAGTCTCCCCTGGTCCCCAGACCCAGGCACTTCGGGGGTGTCCCGCATGTGGACTACATGTGTCCTTCTCTGTTATGGCTGGGCTGTGACTGCTGGGTTTGCACTGGTGGGTGGGTTTGGCCTCAGATGCAGCTGGCTGAAAGACCCTGCTGTAATGGTTGGGGGCATTTTGGTGGTCGAGGCTGTAGCTGCTTTGGGAGGTATCAGTCTGAGGCTCCCTGCTGCATGGCAGGGCAGGAGCTGCTTTGCAGGGATGCCGATCCCACTCAGGGTCACTTGCTGAGTGTGGTGGGATGGGACTTCTTTTAGAGGGGGCCCTTAAACCTGGCCTAGGCTGCCCACCAAGTCTGGTGGACTGGGAGCTGCTTTGGGGGACCATGGGATCTGGCTGAGACTACCTGCCAGGTGCAGTGGGGTGGGAGCCACTTTGAGGGGGATGCATACGGGGGCCAGCATTGTTAAGTAGAGTGGGTCTGCGGGGGCATGCTGAGGCAGGGCAAGCGGTATTAGCAAGGTAGAAGAAGAGTGTCAGAAATGGCTCCCACCAGTGCTTCTGTTCCAGGAAAATGTTCCCATAGATCCCTGCCCCTTCTGCACATGCCCTAAAGTTAGCAAATCTTCATGTGTGGCCCAGGCGCTTTTCAAAATGCTGCCTCTATGCTGGGTCTCAGAGCCAATGAGTTTGTGCCTGTGCCCTTTAAGAGTAGAGTCTCAGTTTCTTTTAACCCTCTAGCTCTCCTGGAGTTAAGCCCCATAGATTTTCAAAGCCAGCGTTTATGGGGCCTCATCTTCCTGATGCAGGTCCCCAGGGTGGGCATGCTTGATACAGGGTTTGAACCCTTTGCTCCTTAGGAAGGATGGCCTCTGCGTTTGTAATATCCCTCTGTTTGGGAGTCACTGAGCAGGGGATGTGGGTCCTGACTAGAGCCCTTTTCTGCATTTCCTACTTGTCTGGTATGGCTTTTTCTATCTTGAGTTGTGGAAGAGCTGTTTTTGCTATTTGTCACATCGTTCTCAGAGAGTTGTTCTGTATGATGTTGTAATTTTGGTGTGTCTCTGGGAGATGAGCTTGGGATCTTCCTGTTCTGCCATCTTGATCCTTCTGTCCTGTTCCTTTTCTTTAATACTATTGTTTTTGAACTAATTCTTTTTGTCTGGATTTGGGAAGTTAATTAAATGTCAGATAATAGATGTGGAGCAAAGGAAACACTTGGGGAGTAAAATGTTACATATGTATGAAATAAACAGCTTGAAAGAAAAACAGAATGAAGAAAACTGCATTTTTTATTTTCTATTTTCTAAGTGCAGTCTTTAATTTTGCATACTTTGATAATTTTTCCTCAGTCTTTATCTTCTCTTCTGAAGTAGTGTCACACTTATTTACTTATTTAAACACTACTTATTTAAATATTTTTCACATAAAGAAAAAAATTTTCCAAAAACAGTTTTTTTCCACTAAAGAAGGCAGGCCTAGTATTTTTCTACTATATAATATAATTCAGAAGTGGAAATTTACTTGCCTGGTTAGTCTTAGATTAGAAATTATACCAATTCTCCCTGTTAAGTACCTGTTTATAGTAGAGGTTAAGGATGAGAACTTGAAAAAGAGTATATAGGGAGAAAGTAAACTTGGATGACTTCCTTATCCCTGCAATTAAGTACTTTAGTGGCCTCACTCACTGCCTGTCTGTTGCTCGCATTATAGCCATACAGGATCTTACAAAGAGCCTCATTCATTTGCTTTGCTTGCTATACGGGCATGTGACTTTTACCTCAAGGCTTCTTTGACTTTGGCTTTAATTTGATTACTCAGTTCATCCTTCACAGCCATAGATTTTCATTGTTAGAGGAGCCGTTGAGGCCATCTTACCTAACTCCTTATTTTTGTGGTCGAGGAAGCCAATTTCCCAGAGATTGTGACTTATCAGAGTGTGGAGGATGACTTGGTTGGTATGAGGGCATTCAGTTAGCTTCTGGGAAATTATATTTCTTTCCTACGAGAAGGATCATTGGTATTTACTGGAATGAAATAACTTTATATCTTTTTACCAGAAACATTATATCTCTTTTTATCAAATAACAGGCTCACATTTGATTTATATCCTTAATAATTTAATAATTGGGAGTTTGGGTAGTACTTATCTGAGGATAATCCAACCTTTCCATAAAAGCCAATCTGTTGTAATTCAGCAAAACTTCTCTTTTTCTAATTCTCAGTAGGATTTAAGAGATTTTAAAGAGTTGATTTTTCAATGAAAACCTCTTATTGGATATTTTTTTTCCCTAACATAATCTTATAATTACAGGAAAGTAAATTAGGTTGGACTTACCTATTTTGGGTTTCCTTTACAGGTATTGTAATCAGGTTCTTTGTAAAGAGATTGATGAATGTGTGACTCTTCTTCTTCAAGAGCTTGTCAGTTTTCAGGAACGCATCTACCAAAAAGATCCTGTGAGAGCAAAAGCAAGGAGACGGCTGGTTATGGGCCTAAGGGAGGTTACTAAACATATGAAGTTAAATAAGATCAAGTGTGTTATAATTTCTCCAAACTGTGAAAAAATCCAGTCAAAAGGTATGAACATTTTACTTTTGAAGTGTTTTGATATTTATTTAGTATAATTGTAAGATATACATTGAATTTTAAAGTGAAAGCCATATGTCTTTCTTTGCAGAGTTTAGGTATAAAACATAATACTGAACATGAGGAAAGAAAGTGAAATCTTTCATTACCTCAAATTAAGTAATAAAATTGAGATTGGACTGTAAAGAAGTCCTAATCTATGAACACTAGTGAAGGATTTAAGTTGGGCCAACCAAGTGAGCCACTTTGGGTAATTGGAGTAGGCAGATGCAGAGGTATTAGTAGTAGGCATATTATCCACAGGGGAGAAATACCAATAAAAATAGTAGTATATATCTGTGTTATTGCCACTTGGGCTGAGAGAATAAATATATCAGCCACTATTAACAATTTTAATTTCTTTTTTAGTGAATGTATTGAAATTTGACCCCCACTATACCAATCCCTATGGAGAGACAAAAACTGGTGTTGAAGAATTTTAAAATTTATTGGGAAGAAAGAAAATACATACATATGTGTGTGTGTATATATATATATCCATACATCATATAAATTCCAATAGGAAAATAAGTAGAATAGCAAAAGTGCCACAAGCATTCATAGAATCCTTTGCTGCTGTGTTTTATGCTTTAGCTGTTGGATGCTAAAATACCTCCATTTATATAAATAAATTAAGACCTCAGCATGTGTTGACTTTCTCAGGTGGCCTGGATGAGGCTCTCTATAATGTTATAGCCATGGCACGGGAACAAGAAATTCCTTTTGTGTTTGCCCTTGGAAGAAAAGCTCTAGGACGCTGTGTGAACAAGCTGGTTCCTGTTAGCGTAGTGGGAATCTTCAACTACTTTGGTGCTGAGGTAAGACCTAAGAGGATACACTCCCTCACTCCCTCTTGTCCTCACCCCCCCCAATACGTTTTCTGTTAACATGTGCCAGTGTTCTTTTAAAGCATTTGAAGAAATGAGATGACTCTCTCAAGAATGAGTGGAAAATTTTTGAGTATTACATTTCCTTTTTTTAGTGCTAAAAACATTTACACAAGTTAATCCTACAGTATTTTGGCTGTAAAGATTTCAGCTCCTGTTTTTCCCACAGTGCTTTTTTCTTTCTGTTCAATTTTGTAATATATGATAATTATTTAACTGCTAGGTAAAGATACTCGATATTATATGATATAAAATAATTTTCTTCAGTGTATATATTGGCTATATTTTATGCTATTTGGAGTCAAGAGAGAAAAAGATCCTTTAATTAGAGAGGATTTTCTTTTTGAAAATGGAATTCCTAACCAATCGTCAAAATAATTCTGCACTCATGATACCTTTATCTTCCTCTCCTGGTCTGCTAATACAAAGCTTTGCCCATAGGAGCTGATGATAATAAGTAATAATAATAACAATAGGCTGGTAATTAATAATTAGAATAAAAGTTATTTATCTCCAGTAATGCTTAGTAACTGATAACATTTTAAGACTCTTTTATGAAGTTGACTCTGAAGTATTTTGTGACACCATTCATGGACCATTTTCCCTCTTCCTAGCCATACTATTTTTATTTATTTAAGCGTGTGTCCTTTCTTATCCAGTTACCATGTTTGCATACCCCCATTTCCATTCAGGTTCTCTCCCACTACCCATGAAGTTATCTACCCACCTACTTTATGAGTATATACTCAATATTTCTGCTCCCACAGTAGCCTGTGCTTTTCTTGGTTATAGGTATCATACTGCCTTGCTGTAGATTATGTGTTTCTTTCCCTTTAACTATGAATTCCTTGAGGGCAGACCTCTTGTCTTTGTGTCCCTGACACCTTTCACATTACTTGAGCATGAGCAGGTGATAAATGTTTGTTCAGTAAACTGTGTGGTATATGTATACCTGCTTGCTATGTTAAACTATATGTGCGAATTTGGGTGGTAAGTACCTCTGTGGGAAAAAAGGGTCATATATAGGGCGCCTGGGTGGCTCAGTCGTTAAGCGTCTGCCTTCGGCTCAGGTCATGATCCCAGGGTCCTGGGATCAAGTCCCACATCGGGATCCCTGCTCGGTGGGAAGCCTGCTTCTCCCTCTCCCACTCCCCCTGCTTGTGCTCCTGCTCTCGCTGTCTCTCTCTGTCAAATAAAATAAATAAAAATCTTTAAAAAAAAAAAAAAAAGGGTCATATATGAAGACACCTAATTAAAATTACTCCTTTTTTGTTCACTGTTAGTTTATGGAATAGGAGTGAGATTGAGGTCAGGAAAAGTGGACATGTTTGTTTTTCATTGTATTGACTTCTTACTGAATTATATATACTGGATTATTTGTATGGCTTTATAAAATGCTTGCCTGTTTTGTTTGTACATTGTTTCACTTGTCCTCTACTACTTTGAGATAGGTAAGTTATTGTTTAAACCAAAATATACTCTTAAAATAGGGGTAAAGGAAACAGTGGTATATTATCAAGTGTGCCCATTTGCAATAATGTGGTAGTACACCTAAGTTATTTTTACCGTCTGCTAAAAGTAACCTTTGAATTAAACTTTCTCTCCTTACCCTGACATTCAAGGTTTTTATTCCCTGATAGCTTTTCTCTTAAATTTTCTTTTTTTCTCTTCTTACTTATTTTTTTATTCCCAACTATTTCTGTGTTTTATTTATATTGTAAAATGATTGTTAATCTCAATATCACACATCCGTATGCCTATTTTCTTTTTGTTGGCTTCACTTAAATGCATAGTTTGTTAAACGTTGCAAACAAATATTTAGGAAGTCTGTTACATGTAACACATAGGCAATTCTTTTTAAAAATAAGTAAATGCTGAGTATATTTTGATACTACTAGTAGTATTAGCATGCTTAAAATCATTGCAGTTGGCAACAGATTTATTGTACCTACTACCTTAATCAGTTTAAACTGAAGCTGGCTAAAGCATGCTACTTATGTTTTTCCTTCTTAAGGACGTATTTTCAGGGACATATTCCATAGCAATATGACACTTTTTGCCATGCTTTCATCCAGTTATGGTTTTAAAGTTAAATGAAAGTGCCTTGGTAGGAGGAAAAAAGTTGTACTGTACTTTTCTTCCCATTGTCTGAAAGCATAATTTTTTTTTTTTTTTTAAAGATTTTATTTGAGAGAGAGAGAATGAGAGAGAAAGAACACATGAGAGGGGATAGGGTCAGAGGGCGAAGCAGACTCCCTGCTGAGCAGGGACCCCGATGCGGGACTCGATCCAGGGACTCCAGGATCATGACCTGAGCCGAAGGCAGTCGCCCAACCAACTGAGCCACCCAGGCGCCCCTGAAAGCATAATTTAATATATAATATTAAACATATTCTTAGGAATGTTCAGGTCTGACATCTGACATTTTTTATTTAATGTGTGGGTGTGTTGCATTGTGATACTAAATTAAGACATTAAACGGAAGTAGAAGGTTGTTCAATTATGATGTAAGAATCACAACAAGTTATTATTTGATTGTCTTTTCTAGTGGCTATGGAAACTTCAGTTTTCTTCGGAGTTTTTTAGAGGTCATAATTGTTGAAGTTCAACTTCAATGCTATATGAATTTTGCCATTTTATTAACATGTGTATAGTCCACCCACCATTTTGCTGGAATTATTAATTGCCATTCGTGTTCATTTTGTTTCACTGATGGAGGAACTTCTGATTATTTAGCTCTACGTTCTTCTTCAGGCTCTTTATTCTGTTTTTGTAATTTGCATTTGTCCCAGTATCTTTGGTTTGTCCTTCTTATAAGTGTCATATTTTCAGCTAGCCATCCCATCACTGACTTCTTTTGATCTTCTTCAAGCTCTTCCAATAAGCACACATCCAGGGAACTTTTAATTCTTGTGGAGGCTGCCATCTTCTTCTATAAACTTCGATACCACACTGCATACGCTCATTCCCTTATATTCTAATCCATATAAGGATTCTTCACTGCTCCCCAGACACGCCTTGTACTTTCTTAAGTCTATACCTGTATTTATTGTTTTGCATGTTTGGCTAAGAATGCAGGATCTCCACCCTTCAAAATTGTATCTATTTTTCAAGGCCTATGTCAGAGGTAATAGTACTTGGGAAATTCTTTAGCCATGCTCAGCAGTTAGATTTGATGTTTCTTCCAAAAGCCAAAACATTTTGTACATCTCAAGGCATTTAAAATAAGGTACCTTGAATCATTGGTGTCTCCTATCTTTCAGCCACATGGAAGTTTCCTTAAGAGCAGAGTGGTGTTCCAGTGGTCTCTGTACTCACTGTAGTGCCAGAGACTGAAGGGGGCAGTTGTTGAATTGATAAACTTGGCAAGAACTTTCAGTATATCACAGTTAATGACTAGTATTGAATCAGGAAATTTCCTCAGACTTGTGAGAATTACATAAACAATATCTGTAAGTTACAGAGTATTTTATAATGTTCTGCAGTGTGCGTACCATTTGGATTTTGTGCTGATTGAAAGTGTGTCTGATCCTGAAACAGTAGAGAGACTTATTGTCAGTTACAGGAATAAAAAGTATAGCCCCAAAATGGACTAATCAAAATCTCTTTTTAGAGCCTGTTTAATCAGTTGGTAGAGCTCACTGAGGAAGCCAGGAAAGCATATAAAGAGATGGTTGCAGCAATGGAACAAGAGCAGGCGGAGGAAGCCTTGAAGAACGTGAAAAAGGCGCCACACCACATGGGGCACTCTCGGAACCCCTCTGCGGCAAGCGCCATTTCTTTCTGCAGTGTCATTTCTGAACCCATTTCTGAAGTAAATGAAAAGGAATATGGTAAGTTGGTGTATGTGGTATATGGTATATATCAGATGTTTTAAACGTTGAAACCATTTAAGTGATTAAAATCATTTTGAAAATGATTTTTCACATTACCTTTTTATCTCATTGATTATTCACATTTTGGTCTGAATTTTGGTTTGAAAAATTGCATTAAGCATGTCCATTAAAAATTAGGAGACTATTTGGAGCTGAGACTTGCTATGAGCCCCTGTAATTTAGTCACATTTCCAGAATCCGCAAAGGGGTTTAAAAAGCAAAAGGTACAATACTTGTGGCCTATAACTAAGTAAATTCTAGGAAGTTTCATTCTAATACTTTATACTGAATTGTTGAAGTTTTGATTTACTAAGTAAACAAAAGACCTGAATATTATGGAATATAAGCTTATAAAATCTAGACATATGACATTTAAGTTAAATTTGATAGTAGTCAAAAAAGAAACAGACTAAAACCCAGCATTTGTGTGTGTTAAAAAACAAAAATTCACCTGAGTAAATAATAAAGATCTAATTGGCTTTCTTAGTTATTTATGCACCGGGGCAACATCCCTTCTAGCAAGTAGTGGGGAGCTCTGAGGAATTGCACAAAGTGGAAGGCTTATATATAGGAAAGAGGGTGGGGCAAGGAAATTATTAGCAAAAGAAAAGAAAGGATGGTTCCTGGCCAGGTCACCTTCCTTTAGGGAGACAGGCAAGGGGTCTTATTAATGGATTGTCTCATCTTCCTTTTGGGGGTGGAAAGGGCCCTTGTGACAGATTACCTCATTAGCGCTGACCAGAAAACTCTTCAAACCGATTTCTGAGGGAGGTTGAAACTGTCATTAGGTTAGATCTTAAGCTCTGGTTTGGTGATTTGGCCTCAGTGATGCCGTTTTGGGCCTGTGGTTTTCTTTTTAACATGTGTAATGTTTAAAATAATATTATTTACTGCACTCTATATGTCTTAGGAGTGTCCTTGCCTTTTTTCTACAATACTTTGAACTCTTAAGTTCTCCAGTTTTCATGATGTTTCTGGTTCGCTTCCCCTATTTTTTCTTTTTAAAAATAGGATAGCCACCTCCTTCAACTTAGCTCCAGTTTCTTCCTTCTTCTTTTTCTTTTTTTTTAAATCTATCTGGGAGTTTATTGAATAGCTTGTTGCCAACTAAAATTTAACATGTAGAAAAATGAGTCCTCATGTTTTCCCTTTTTTTCCTCACACTCCCTTTCCTAGTCTCCCTATCTGTGATTGTAGTTAAATGTTTGGAATGCTTCGACAAAGCTCTAGGCCAGAGACAATGAACAAGTTACTCTGGGACTTTAGGAAACTGCAGATCAAGGATAAGTGGGTTTTTTTATTACGATTTTATTTATTTATTTGACAGAGACATAGCGAGAGAGGGAACACAAGCAAGAGGAGTGGGAGAGGGAGAAACAGGCTTCCCGCTGAGCAGGGAGCCTCATGTGGGGCTCGATCCCAGGACCCTGGGGCCATGACCTGAGCTGAAGGCTGACGCTTAACGACTGAGCCACCCAGGCGCCCCAGGAATAAGTGTTACTGGCTTAGAGGCAGACGTTTTTTTGGCTGAAGTGCCACTAGTTGAAAATAAGATAAAGTGCCAACTTTGTAAATGAGATCAGTTCTCTCTATATAATGATAATGCAGATCTCAAAAGCAAACTTCAAGGTAAATTCATAAAGCTGTGGGTTTGAGCACATGAAAAGAAAAGTTATGAAAAGAACCTCTCAAAGACTTAGGAGATGTTTTCAAAAGGCAGCAAATATAGTGTTCAAAGATTGAAGCTTTAGCTTTCTCACACACTCTGCGTGGGGGACTGAGAAATAATTGATTAATTTCTGGGCCTCAGATTTCTCTTTAGTGAAATGAGGAGGGTTCATCTAGGTCATCTATAAGGTTCCACTCAAAGCTAAAATTCTATGAGCTATTAAATAACAAAATTCAACCAAGTGTATTTGATGATCTAGTTAGCTTTATTGAATGATTCATGAATTGGGCAGCCACCATCTAGCAAGTAGAGAGGCAGTCTGAAGACTTTTACAAAGTGGAAAGTTTTTATGGGGGGGGTGGCAAGGCAGGCAAGAAAGTTACTAGGAAAAGAAAAAGATTGTTCCAGAGGAGACTGTTGCTAAGGGAAAAAGCAAGGGGTCTTATGCAGATTACCTCACCTATCTTTGGAGGATGGAGAGGACCCAGGTGACAGACTCATTGGTGCTGATGGAAAGAAAAATTTCCTGACTGACCAATTAAGGCCGCATTTCTAGGGGAGTTTGAAACTGCAGTTGGATTGGGAATTAAGCTCCAGTTTGGGAACTCAGTCTAAGTGACACCATTTTGGACCTGTGGTTGTCTTTTTTTTTTTTTTTTTAATCTGGTAGAGCTAATGGTTGAATCCTAAGGAAGGATTTAGATGGAATCTTTAAGATTCTGACATGATGAGCTGATTTATGAGGACACCAACAAAATGAGTGGAAGGAATCACAAATAACACTGAGAAGAAAGCATGAAGTCATTCTTTGTGTATCGGATGCATTCAGCAACAAACATAAAACCACTAATGTGGCCTAAGAAATCAGGATATTTAATTATTTCACAATATCCTCAAAGTCCCTAGCTCTTTCCTTCTTTCTGTTCTTCCATTTGCAGTCTGTGGCTTTCTATTCTTGTGCCATCATCTCATGTTCATAGTAGCTGCTGTGGCTCTGGCATTAGTAGTCAAAAGCAGGAGGTTCAGGCAGTGAGTTCCTTTTATCAGTGAAAGAAACAATTTTCAGAAGACTTCTCCTTTTGTTTCATTTAGCCAGAACTGATCTTGTGACTCCTTTTAGCTGCAAGGGAGACGGGCAAGGGACTATTTGGCAAAGGAGGAATGGGATAACCATTATAGTCTAAGAACTATTTTAATTCATCCTCCAGGACTGGACTCAAGTTCATTCCAAGTTTGGGGGTTCTGTTATCCAGGAAGAAAATGGGGAATGACTGTTGGATAGACAACAAATCAGCATCTTCCATGTCATCCTGATGCAGGATTCCTAAAATGTTTTTCTCCCCATAGTTTAAAGGAAAAACAAAGCTGGGAAAAGAATGCTAATCATTGGCAGAATAGAAAACCTCCTATGATAGTCCAGTCTTACTGTCTTTTATATACCCCTTGTTTTCTTTGCTTATGTTTTCCTTCCACCTGTGCTGAGTCTCAGTTCTATCATACTTATTACATGAAACAAATAGTTTTGAACATAAATTCCAACTAAGTTGTAAGTTCTTTGAGGTAGGAACTTGACACATAATGGGCACTTGATACATAATAATAATATCTCACTGAATTCATACTATGTGCTAAGCACTTCTGTAAGCATTTCACATTTATTAATACATTCGATTGTGTGAGCAACCTTATGAGATAAGAAATATTGTACTGCAGGGGCACCTGGGTGGCTCAGTTGGTTAAGCATCCTACTCGATTTCAGCTCAGGTCATGATCTCAGGGTCCTGAGATCGAGCTACAGGGCAGGCTCCGTGCTGAATGGGGAGTCTGCTTGAGATTCTCTGTCTCCCTCTCCCCCTCCCACGCCCGCTCTCTCTTTCCTGCTCTCTCTCTCAAATAAATAAATCTTTTTTAAAAATTAAAAAAAATACTGTACTGCATTTCATAGATGAGGAGCCTAAGATGAAGAGAGGTAATTAACTTGTCAATGCACACACCTGGTAAATCTGACTCTAGAATCTACATTCTTAGCCAGGGTGATTGTGTTCCCTGTCTGTTGATTGAGTTCTTAATAGGACAGTATAGTAGCTTTTCAGTAATCACTTACGAGGGGAGGACAGCCTCATTATGTAGTCCATCCATCCTGAATTTCCTGCTCATTTTCTGCCACTAGTTTGTTCTGTAGTTTCTTGAACTCATTTGCTTGTTCTAAGTATAACTAAAGATGGACAGCTTCTCTGTTTGTACTGACTGAAAGGAGAAATACACATACCTCATCCTCTAAGAAATCCTCTAGTGATTTGAAAGTTTAAAAGACAATTTCACAAAGACCCAATAAACAAAAGAGGAAAGCATAGAAGGGATTAACAAGCAAAGAAGAGCTCTATTGAATAAATTACGCTACAATAAAAATTCAGAAGCAGGGTGGGTTTGAATCAGTACCATTTCTAGGTTTGTTGAGATCTTTGGTTCTTCCTTTAACTTGCTTCCTGGTTCCTTCATCAGAAGTGGACTTCTAGAGGTTCTGTTCGGGATTTAGACTGTCCTCCTCCCCATCCCAATCAGATTTCTCCTGTCCCCTAGAGAAAGATGGCACTTTCGTACTCTTCTCTTTCTCCATGTTGTATGCATGTGTTTGTGTGCTCATCAGCTGTTGATCAAGCTTCATCTATTACTTTAAAGTGGGAGCCTAGACCCTCCCTCCCCAGTAGATACGTGACCTTGGTGGCTTTTTGATTATTGTGACAAGTCTCTTGATGGCTAATAGCAGAGTCCTTTGCTTCTGCTTTTGAAGTCATATCTCCCTTTACTATCCCAAGGACCCATGTGGGCTTTCAGCTCACCTACCCAAGTAGATGAAGGCCTAAGGTTGATTCTGGAGAGAGATCAGCCTGACCTAGTATCCTGACCTCCTTCCTCTTTCCTGTTCGTTGACTCACTGACAAGGGGGAGGTGGAACTCCAAGTGAATTCTTATACTTTTAGGGGAGGATAAAAACTGTTGGAAGGAAATATAAATGTGTGCATAAAATTAAAAAAAAAATATATGCCCTTTTTAAAGTTTTTTTAGGGGGGGGCATAATTAAATATATGTGTGGTATTTTTCATTTAATAGGCTTTTTTGCCTCCAGCACTTACTCTGTGCCAACCATAGGGACACAGATGAGCAGGAATGAGGATAAGGAGGGAAGAAGGGGCAGCACAGCAAACACAAAAGTGCTTTTGAACTATATATGCCAGAAGTGCTATGGGAATTCACGTGAGTGGAAAGTCAGGAAAGACTTCATAAGGAATTGACACTTAAGGATGGTCATCCAGGATGGTGGGAGTCTGAAGGGTAAAGGAGGAAAACACATCTCATATGGAAAGAACAGCTTATGCAAAGCAAGGAATTGTAAATAGAAAGGTTATGACTTCTGGGAGCAATGAGAATTCAGACTGACCCCAAGCATAGAGTGCATGGCTGGGGGTTGTAATGAATGGGATGGGAAAGATAGGTGAGGGTCAGATCACAGAGGGCTTTGGCTATGCCAAGCTGAGGTATTTGGATCTTGTCATAGGGTAATAGAAAGCCCGTTAAACAGTGATGTGACCAATTCACAGAACCAATTAGGAATATATGTAGATGTATAGCAAGATAAAGAAGGCTTGAGCTAAGACAGTAGTGACCAAATTTAATAGTTTTTGAGCTAGAAGTGACATATAAGTTCAGCTGAATAAAGTAAGGGAGAAATATAAGGTCAATGAGTACTATAAGTTTTCTTTTGCTTTGAGACTACAAAAATGATAATGTTATTAACTAAGAATGAAAATATAGGAGAAGGAGTAGATTTTTTTTTTCATGAGTAGGAGACTGGAAACAACTTACTTCAAACTTGAAGTAACTGCAGGAAAGAAAGGTTTTTTCCAAACCATGTGCCCTGACTTCAAGTGCCCAAAATATGGTTTTTATCAGTGAATAGTTGATAGGTGACATTCAAGTTGATATATTAGTATGAATAGACTTGCTTTATCACTACAGCTTGATCATCATACTTACAAACTGTAGGTAGCAGCTATAATACAAATAGAAGGGGGTGTTATTTTTTTTAAAAGGCAAAAATAAATAAATGGGACTACATCAAACTAAGACGCTTCTGCACAGCAGAGGGAATCAACAAAATGAAAAGGCAACCTACTGAATGGGAGAAAATACTTGCAAATCATCTATCTGATAAGGGGTTAATATCCAAAATAGATAAAGAACTCATACAACTGAAAAAAACCAACAATCCAATTAAAAGAGCAGAGGATCCGAATATACATTTTTTCCAAAGAAGACATAGATGGCCAATATAAAAAGATGTTCAACATCACTAATCATCAGGGAAATGCAAATTGAAACTACAAGATACACCACCTGACACCTGTTAAAATGGCTATTATCAAAAAGACAAAAAATAACAAATGTTAGCAAGGATGTAGAGAAAATGAAATCCTTGTACACTGTGACAGTGTAAATTTATGCAAGCACTACAGAAAACAGTATGGAGGTTCCTCAAAAAATTAAAAATAGAAATACCATATGATCCAGCAATCCATCTTCTGGGTATATACCCAAAGGACGTGAAATTATTACCTCAAAGAAATATCTCTACTCCCATGTTCATTTCATCATCATTCACAGTAGCCAAATTATGGAAACAACCTAAGTGTCCATCAAATGGATGAATGGATAAAGAAGACAGAGTGTGTGTGCACACACACGTGTGTGTTGCCAGAGTCTTGGGGAGTGGGTGAAATGAGCGAAGGGTGTCAAAAAGTAGAGACTTGGCTGTTATAAAATAAATTAAGTCATGGGGATATAACGTACAACATGGCAATTATAATTAATAATACTGTATTGCATATTTGAAAATTGCTATGGAGTAGATCTTAAAATCCTCATCAGAAGAAAAAAATTTTTTGGTAACTGTATGCTGACAGATTATTAACTTGATTTATTAAGGCAATCATTTTGCAATACTTACAAATACCAAATCATTATGTTGTACACCTGAAACTAGTATAATGTTATATGTCCATTATACCTCAATAATAAAAAAATGAAAAATGAAAGAAAAACACATGAAAAATGAGGGGTAAGAGAGCTGTCCTTTGTCTCCTCATTCTCAGTTTTTTTGTTTTAAACTGACTTTCTGTCATTAAAAATAATTTAGATTATCACCACTGTATTATATAATAACACTTCTTTTTTTGGCTACCAAATTCAGTTGGTGAGCCCAGCTACATGTATTATTAAACAGATTTTCACAAATGTTAGAAATGCATGGATGGCTTCTTTGCTTATTATAAGTGGAAACAAGTCCCATTATAGGCTAAGACAGTTCTCAGATAACTTGCTGTGGGAGCATGAAACAAACACATCAAATTAGAAGTATTTCTGCTGGACATCTTGGCTCTGCCATCTGTGACTCGTGGATCCTTGGGTCCAGTACACCTCTAGGCCAAAAAAAAAAAAAAAAGGCAATTCATTGATTCTCATGAATATGGATTTTATGTAAAAGCATTAATGAGCTCCTGTTGTTACAAGATCTTGTGCATTCTGAGCCATAAATACGCTTACTTTTGCCTCCTTGTTTCTTTATCTTAAATGCACATTTTTGAGAATTGTTCTCCTTTTGTAACATTTAAACCAGTACTAGAATAAGTTTTTAGTTTCTCCAACCAGTTGGTGAGCCAACAAATTTCTGTAGTTTGTTCTTCCCTCTTTTAAGAGTTGTATGATTCTGGAACTGTTCTGGTTTTTAAAAAATCTGTTTGATATTTGCAGAAACAAATTGGAGAAACATGGTGGAAACCTCAGATGGGCTGGAAACATCAGAAAATGAGAGAGAGGTTTCCAGTAAGCATAGCACATCTGAAAAGCCCAGGAAACTTCTGTCTGATGCAGCCCCTGTTGGTAAGCAGCCATCATTACTGGCTGCAAGCAGTACTACCTCAGCTGCAAACCCTGGGAGATCAACAGTGAGCGATAAAGAGGAAGTGAAGCCCGATGACCTGGAATGGGCCTCCCAGCAGAGTACAGAGACTGGTTCTTTGGATGGCAGTTGCCGAGATCTCTTAAATTCCTCCATCACCAGCACCACCAGCACTCTTGTCCCTGGCATGCTCGAAGAAGAGGATGATGAAGATGAGGAAGAGGAGGAAGATTATACTCATGAACCCATATCTGTAGAAGTACAGCTCAATAGTAGAATTGAGTCGTGGGTCTCTGAGACCCAGAGAACAATGGAGACTCTTCAGCTTGGAAAAACCCTTAATGGTTCTGAGGAAGACCATGCAGAGCAGAGTGGAGAAGAGGAGGCAGAAGCGCCTGAAGTGCTAGAACCAGGGATAGATGGGGAGGCCTGGACTACTGACCACCAAGCAAGTCAGGAGCAGCAGAAGCCTAGCAGCTGCAGCTCGCTGAACAACGAGCCCTCTGATCTTAGTTATCCGCCCCCAGGTCTGTAACTCAGGAAATGTCCACTGTCTGTCTCCAACTGTGTAAGGGTTGCAGCCATTCTCTTTTATGCTTCATCTCAACGTTTTGCATTGTCCAGTATTTAATATGTATATTTAATTTCTGACAAATATTTTTTGTAGCTGTCTTTTACTTGTTTTACTATAATCTGTAGCTTAGCTTTTAATTAGCATCTAAGTGTCTTTCTAAGAACTGTGTGGAAATTCAGTTGTTTGAGCTTATTTTGTTATGGAAAATAATGATTAAAATAGAAGAAGACTAGGTTTAAAAAAGAAAATAAATTTAAAATGCGTATTTAGAGTCATTTTGAAAGTTAAAGATCGATAGGAGCACTTACCAATGTTTCAAGACTATGCCTCCTTCACTCTAATTTGATCAAAAGTTGTTTGGGCTTCTTTAAAAAAGAACTGGAGGTAGATTTGGAAAACTGAAAAAAAGGCTGAGGGTAGCTAAGCCCACAGTTGTTTTGTGTTAAAAATTGATGCCACTTTTCTTTGGTCCAAAAATGTTTATTTTAGAAGCCATTGATCATTGTAATCGATTAAAGTTGGGATAGGCTAAAACAGAGCCTCCAAAACTTAGGCTAGCAAAGGAGTCACCACGATGCAGTAGAGCTGGCCGTACTTGTGGAAAGTGATAGATGTTGTCTTTAATAGTGAAAAGTCACCCATGATAGGACCTAACAGGTTCTGTCTCATATTTACTTCTTACTTACCTCAGGAATGCTCTTGTACATATTCGTATTTACATAAAGTTAGGCAAATTGTGGCAGGTGATTAACTGTAACCAATTATATGACTGCAGCACTTAACGTGTAAACTATTCCGAAACAGAGTCTTCTACCGGTGTGTTCTCTTGCATGCTTTTGATTTGGGACCCTCTGGATTTGCTATCTGAACTTGATTAGGTATCCGAACTTGTCCTGAGTGAAAAACCATTTCACCTTTTTAAAAAAATACCTATTTTGTCCCTAGCCTTGAGCACCTGCCACATAACACCAACCGTAGTTACTGATAGGAGGTCAGGGAGAAGAACTTTACACAACTTACAATGTGTATCCTGATAATCAAAAGGCTGGAAAAGGAAGTTTTGAAGAAGCGAGAAAGTTGTTCTAATTGTGCTGAAACTATTAGATGATTTAGAGTACACAGATCTAGGCAGGTATTACTTCTTGATCACTATTTATCCCTGCCCTTCTCTAAGATAATGTATGTACCTGCTTGGGAGAATTTAAACTTAGCAGCTAGAAGTTTTATTTGCTGGTCAATCACCTGGTAGTGACGTCTACAAGTTTATGTAATGTTGGGAGACTTACAGATGACCTGTTTTTCTCTCATCCCTCCAACTCCTGACCCTCCCCCCCC